AATCTTCACTGTAAAGTTTACCTTTCACCAAATGAAACATCAGATTGAACTTGTTCATAATATTCATACTGGGATGGCCTAATCTCTGGTGCCACAACCCGCTCTTATCAACACTGTTAAATGCCACACCATCGACACTGGTGTGCAAAGCATAAAGATCACTCATAACTGGATCTTTAACAGCAACCACTTTCTTTTCAGGGTACATTTTCACCTTTTTTCCTTCAAATAATAATCTTGCACCATTCAGAGTAGCCTTGGAAACAGAAATCAAATTGGCCTTTGACCCTGGAACATAATAAGCATCCTTGATTTCGATACTGGTGTTATCACGTAACTTAAACACCGCAGACCCGATACCTTGAACCTCGAGAGAACTACCATCAATACCTGAGATCTCACCAGAAAAAGGACCAATGGTTTTAAACATCTTTCTGTCATTCAAAATATGTTGCGAGGCACCAGAGTCAAAGTACACTCTGGAGGCCCTACCATGCATTCCCATAAATGCATACCAAGATGGTGATGGATTCTTCAGATCACCACCCATTCTCTCCTTTCTAGGAGCCTTGCAATCCTTCTTCAAATGACCGGGTTTTCCACAATTGAAGCACTTGTACTGTTTCTTAAAAGCAAACACAGGTTCCAAACCCTCAACACTGGTGGAACCAATCGATTTATCTCCAATGATTTCTCTTGTCAAATCTTGGACAAGCCCAATATCAACATTTCCAATAGTCCTGCCATTTCTAGACTCATACGCAGTCATGACTTCCCTGGAAAGAGTTGCATTAAACCCGGCTTTCTGACCCAAGCTCAAAAACAACGCACACAACACAGTGTTTCCGTCTAATTTGCCAACAGTATTCTTGAAATGATTGAAGGCATCAATGAAATTCTCAACGTTTCCGTTGCTAGATTTCAACCACTTAGCGTCAATTAAATCTGAGATAATACCAACAGCATTTGTAACAGTCAATGTACCATAAGCATCCTTGAGAAACATAAACAAGTTTCTACCAGTACCATCAAATTCGGAAGCCTTAGTCAAAGCAGCGCCTGAGATGCTGTTGAAAATGGCTGTTGAAATAATCTCATCCATAGTAGCAATCAATTGGGCAACTTCATTAGCAGTTTCCAGCCCGTCGGTTCCGGTTTCCCCATTGATCAAGTAAGCATGTAAACCAAGACCTTTCATCTTCATCTTAACACTGATCAAAGTAAACCAATCATAAAAGTTCCCGGAACCCTTCAACTTCTCATCAGCAGCGAACGAAGTGAGAGCATTTGAACTCATAACCTGTTGTAGTTTTGTAACTCTAGTTACAAAAGACATTGATAACAATAATATTCAATAATATTTATTCCCTTGTTATACTTGTTTTACTTGTTTTACTTGTTTTACTTGTTAACTATCTAAATTATATAAAGGACAAACTCAGACTATGGGGGGCATGGCCCATATTTATATTAATCTCAATGGGTTCTAGAAGGTTCCATAAGCTCTAGAATGTTCCATGGAATTCTAGAAGGTTCCATAAGTTCTAGAAGGTTCCATAAGTTCTAGAAGGTTCCATGAGTTCTAGAAGGTTCCATGAACAATGACTAACCACATAACTTTGGATTGCCAACTCAACAGCATCAATAAAGTGTTCCACTTTTCCTTCTTTAGTTTTCAACCATTTGTTGTCCATTAAATCACAAATAATTCCCACAGCATTGGTAACAGTCAAAGTACCATAGGCCTCCTTGAGAAACATAAACAAGTTTCTGCCAGTACCATCGAATTCCGAGGCCTTAGTTAACGCAGCGCCTGTGATACTATTGAAAACAACTGTAGAAATAATTTCATCCATAGCAGCAACCAATTGCGCAACTTCGTTGAGGTCTTCCAGACCATCAGTTCCAGTTTCCCCATTGATCAAATAAGCATATAACCCAAGACCTTTCATCTTCATCTTGACACTGATCAATGTAAACCAATCATAGAAGTTTGATGAACCTTTCAACTTTTCATCAGCAGCAAACGAAGTAAGAGCATTTGAACTCATAAGCTGTTGAAGTTTTGTAACCCTAGTTACAGTAGTCATTACCAATAACAAATACTATCAAACTATCCTTGTTATTATTCTTATTCTTCTTAACTAACTAACTATTTAAATAACAAAATATAAACTCAAACTATGGGGAGAGGCCCCATATTTATAATAAGACCAATATATATGATTTGTAATCATACATCCATCTAGAACATTCTAGATGATTAATCATATGCACAATGACTAATTATTAGGCTGAGTCATAATCACATGCAGATTATATATTGCCCAGCCATGGTAAATAAACCGTCTTATCCGAGACTCGAACCCAGGATCTATTCAACACATTGATACCCGTGTTAACCGTTGAGCCATCTGTACAAAACCCAATATATGACTTTGGATTGTCAACTCAACAGCCTCTTGTTTTATGGCTGGTGAAGCTGCTGCTTTGGCTGGTGGAAGTGATGTTCCTGGAAATTATAAGGAAGCCATGAAGAGCAACGAAAGTGCAGAATGGAAGCGCGCTTGTGACGAAGAAATTGCGGCTCACAAGGAGAATTCCACTTATGAATTGGTCGAGTTGCCGAAAGGAAGAAAGCCAATTACATGTCGTTGGGTCTTTGCAAAGAAAGATAACGGAGTCTTCAAGGGAAGACTTGTTGCTCGAGGATTCACACAGGTGAAAGGTATTGACTACAATGAGACATTCTCACCTGTGGTGCGTTATGAATCTATCAGGTTGATGTTGAGTATTGCAGCTAAGAATGGAATGGCAGTTCATCAGATGGATGTGAAAACTGCATTCCTCAACGGATCTCTTCAGGAAGAATTACACATGACTCAACCAGAAGGGTATGTGGTTAAAGGAAGGGAAACCAGTGTCTTGAGATTGAAGAAAAGCTTGTATGGTTTGAAACAGGCTCCCTTGGTGTGGAATGAAAGAATCCACAGTGTTTTGTCGTCGCTTGGTTTTGTCAGAAACGGTGCTGAATATTGTCTATATTCAAGGAAATCCGAAAAGTCTTTTGTGATGGTTGCGCTTTACGTTGATGATTTATTGATAACTGGTACCTCAGATTTTGCCATCAGGAAAGTGAAAAGTGAATTGATGAATGTCTTCAAGATGAAGGACTTGGGAATAGTCAGGAAATTTTTGGGTATCAATATCTCGCAAGATAATGGAGGTATTAACATGAGCTTGAAAGACTATATTGGCTCTATGTTAAAGGAATTTGGAATGGAGAATTGCAACCCAGATAAGACGCCTACTATTGCTGGTCAGGAGCTCACCTTGGTGGACAACAGTGCTGAGGATTGTGATGCCACAGCTTACAGATCTTTGGTTGGAAAATTATTGTTTGCTGCTAATACTGTTAGAAGCGATATCAGCTATATCGTCGGTGTTCTATCCAGATACCTCAAGGAACCAAAGGAGGTGCATTATAAGGCAGCATGTTGTAGTTTTGTAACTCTAGTTACAAAAGACATTGATAACAATAATATTCAATAATATTTATTCCCTTGTTATACTTGTTTTACTTGTTAACTATCTAAATTATATAAAGGACAAACTCAGACTATGGGGGGCATGGCCCATATTTATATTAATCTCAATGGGTTCTAGAAGGTTCCATAAGCTCTAGAATGTTCCATGGAATTCTAGAAGGTTCCATGAGTTCTAGAAGGTTCCATGAGTTCTAGAAGGTTCCATGAACAATGACTAACCACATAACTTTGGATTGCCAACTCAACAGAAATGTTATATTGGTTTGATAGATGGAGAATTTTGGGGTCATCCAATCTCAATCTTTGGATGTTTTGACTAATGATCGATAGTTTACTCATTTTGTGTATGAGAGGCGTTTTTTGTGACATTTGAGCCATCTGATTGAGGTGAATTTATTTCGTTGTTGTTATCATCCAGGGGGGAAGATTGTTCTTTTGACAGAAGCTTCATTGGCCGGGGAGTAAATGATTCCAGTGGTGTGGGCATTTTGTCTGAGTTTTCCAGGATAGATGGATGTTTTGAGAAGGGGGAAGCTGAATGAGGTGAGGTAGAATGAGGTGAGGTAGTAATAGGGGTAGGAACAGAGGTAGGGACAGAAGCAGGGACAGAAGCAGGGACAAAAGCAGGGATAGAAGAAGTGGCCAGAGCCGAGGAAGTGACAGTATCACGGGCAGGGGTAGGTGAAGGAGGAATGTTGGCAGCAGAAGAAGTAGTATGATGTTGTGAGTTTACTTCTTGATGTCTGCGAGAAACGCGGACCTGAGGGTGGGATGGAGGTGAGGCGAGGATCTTTTTGGAGACCTTGCTAATATGGGCCAGCTTGATGGCGCTAATGGCCGCGAACTTGGCGTGCTTCTTAGATTTACCTTTCTTGGACAATAATTCTATTGGTTTGGTTTGATGTCTGAGAGTAGCAGTGTGTTGGGTTGTAGAGGTTTCGAGCTCATCCATGGATTGGTCTGCATCAGTAGAGAGGCCTTCCTCTAAAGCATCTTCATCATTGGAGGGGTAGTTCTTTTCCAAAGTATCGTCATCATCAATAATTGAATCATCAACATTTTCTTCTTCATTTGCCAATAAGTCAAAAGGGTTTGAATGTGGTTTAGAATATTCTGGAATAGCCGGTTTATTCAGTTTTATTTTTCTTTTTTCGACAGTCTGAAAACCATAGTTTAAATTGTGGTTTGGTTTGACTGCTTTTCCAGAATTTTGTTTCGGAGAGTGTTTTTCTGGATCTTCCGGATTCACAATTGGTGCTCTTTATTGCTTTTTGAAATAACAATCTTTTGCCCTATGGGATAATTTCTTGCAAATGGCACAAGATGACGTCTTGCAGTCAAAACGAGTGTGTTCACGGGAACCACATGCAGTGCAGTGGACGCATTTCGTGATGACTCTGGAGCGGAAATTTTTGTCATTGAAGAGTGGAAGGGATTTTCCTGAGTCAATTTCAATATAACCATAAGTGACAATACTGGCAGCTTTGCTAGCTTCTTCCGTAAAGTGAACGGTGTTGATTGGAAAGAAGGATGATGGATCAATTCCGGATTCATTGAAGACATGGTCAAGAAGTTTTTCCCGATTAAATTCAGTAAACTCGGAATTCATTTCAATCTCAATTAAATGGGATTCCTTATTCATTGTGTTTAACAAAGACCCTGGCGTGTAGGTATAATTTCCAACTGTAACTTTAAGGTGGATGTTAAGATATTCAATTAAAAGATTTCTGTCCTTCTTGAAGATATCAGAGCCTGTATCCTGAGGGTTTGGGATGAAGTTTGAGTTAAGGCAGATCTTCTTATTAAAAATAACCAAGTGGTTGAGGGCCCCTTTTAAGTTTTCCCTGATTATGATCAAATCCTTATCTGGTTCGTTGGATGACTGTGTAATAGTATCAAGTTCTTTGGATAACTTAGTGAGTCCGTTTTTGATGGATTCCAAGTGTTTTTCAAGAGGAAACTCTGTAAAGATATCTTTTGGGATCTTAAAGTAGATTAAGATATCCTTAAGATGCTGTTGGCTCATGATAAATTCCAAGTAGTTCTCCAAGCTGATTCTAGAGTTTCTCAATCTGTTGAATTCGTTTGTCATATTAAAACTGGTGTAGTTTTGGAAGAAATCTTCAATTTCCATGATCTTGACGAGTTCCTCGCGTTTTTCTTTGGATTTAATAATAGCAGGATTGGAGGTGGAGAACAATTTTCCTGATTTGCGTTTCTCGCTTATGGCATATTCCAATACGTCACGGTGCTTAAAGTCAAGGATTTTGATGTGACTTGCCCATTTGAAAGTTCTTTCAAATTTCATCAACACGTTTTGGAAGGATGGATCATTGGTGTTTGTAGTGGCTCGAGGTGTGCGCTTGTCTCCAGCGGTGGCTTGAGCATAGGTTTGGATTGGTCTTGTCACATTGACAGCTGGAGCCACCGGATTGGAGGCCGTAGTTGGAGAGGCGACGGTAGAAGATGAAACAGAGGGAACAGGAACAGAAGGAACAGAAACAGAAGGAACAGAAACAGAAGGAACAGAAACAGAATTTTTTTTTGGGTTTTGAGAATTTTCGATTTTTTTTTGGTTTTCGGAGTTTTCATTAATAAAATCAGTAGAAATAACGGCTTGGGTTGGAATAACAGGATTATGCATGTCAATGTCAGTGTCACATGCTGCATGAGAATTGCGATCGCAATCAACTGAAGAAACATTAATTGCTGGAGAGGGAGTTGGGGTAGAAATGGCGTTGGAATCCATGTTTTGGTCCGCTTCAGGATCTTCTGAAGCAGTTAAAAAGGTTTCAACAGTACTATTAATAGTATTGTCGGCTGCATCAGTAATTTCTTCATCGGAATCTTGATCTTTAGCTTGTTTGTTTATGTTTGCTATCGGGATCGGGGTTTCAGATGTTGCGCCAACATCCAATGAAGAGCCCAAAGAAACCGGGGTTTCAATGATTGGGGGATCATTAGTAGGGTCGGTGGAGTAGTTTGGGGTAGCTTTATTACTATTTCTAGTGGTTCTCATGATAATTGAGTATTTTTTTTTTTTTGATTCCAGATTCTAGTGTGCCCTTCCATACTGATTGTAACAACAAATGTTATATTATGGGATCATGGTTAGGTTGTGTCCTGGTTACCATCGGTATGGTACCATACGGAACCCATGATCGGCATTACCTCATCGAGGTATTACCTTATCAAGGTATCACCTTATGTTCCACCCCTTATCTGTTAGTCCTTTATTCCGGGAAGGGGTCCAACACCCCATTATTAGTTTTAATCATTTTATTTATATAAGGATTCAACATTCCTTTAGTTTAGACCTTTATTTAGTTTAGGAAGGACAAGTCTCTTTGGATATAAAATACTGCCTGTAATCTCCACTTTTTTTTTTTAAAGACAAAATTCAATATATTAATTAATTATATAACTATATATCTCATAAACTACCTAATGTAGTTTGAAAATTAAAGTGTTAAGGGAAAACCATTAATGGTGAAAAACCCTATTATTGAGAAAAAATGTTTTTATGCGTTTTTAAGGTTTTTAATTGTTGTTTTTTTTTTGATTTTATTTTTTTTTTTGATTTTATTTTCTTGTTTTTCCCCACCTATTTTTTCTTCTCCGCTTAAAAGATATTGCTTTCAAGCAAGAAGATCATTGAATCAACGGCCATATGACAATTGAAATGCCTTTTGGATTTCAATCTTGATAATTTTCGTTGGAAACCTAGATATCTATCGATCGTTCTGGTTTCGTTCATGTTGGTGGCAGGGGTAATGATTGTTTGCCAGGTTAATGGGATATTCAAGTCAATTTTTTTCCAAAGTTTCTGGGCCAATGGACATTCAATAAGATGGTGCTTCATGATTTCAAATTGGATTTCCTTTGGGGCATATTGGGGTTCATCATATCTGGTTAATTTTTTGCTGCAATAGTCACAATGATTATTTACGTAATTGTGATTTTCAATGCCCAAATGAAAGATGTGAATATTTTGATATTTCCCCGGGAAATGTTGGTTGAATTTTTTGAGGTTATGCCAAAAGTTATCAACTTGTTTCTGATTCACCCCAGTAATGTCCATGAGTGTTTTTGACATCTTGTTCACATCTTGTTTTTCCCGTTGTTTTTTACTTCCTTTAGTATGGTCAAAATCCTTAATTCTAATTGGAATGTGTTGTTGATATTTTTCAGGAATCCCTTTTTCAATTGAATTTTTTAAATCTTCAATTCCAATCTTCATTGGCTTCAACCTGATTGTACGTTTCTTTATACCAAGAACTTTTCTGAAATCCCAGTACGCTGTCCGTTCAGCATCTGAGAATGTGCTGCTATTCATAACTTCTAAGGAAATTGAATCATTGGTATTCTCAATGTCATCCGCTAGTTCAAGTAATACCACCCACCAATAATGAGTTTTGATATAGTCATCCTTTGGTGATTTTGTTGGTGATGTTTTTTGAATGATGTTGTTGATACTTGATTGAATTTTGAAACGTAATATCTGGTTATATTTAGTGTGACTATCCAAAAACAAATCCTGGAAAATTTTGGCTCTTCGGTGTTGGAGTTGAGACTTTAAATCAATCATTGAGAAACCGCCTTTGTTGTTGTGTGTCTTGAGTGTATCCAAAGAAATAGGTGTATCTTGCTTGACCAATAACTTAATCGATGTGTCAATTTGATTCAACTGATTGGGTAACAAAGGTTGGTGTAGTTCTTTGTAATAGAACTTGGATGCAATATATGTGTTGAATGCTTCTATTTTTGATTGAATCAGCAAGCTGGTCATGTTTGATAACTTGTACTTGATATAGAGGTCACGCTGCAATGTTTCCGGCCAAAATGTCACTGATGGTCCAATAGTTATCCCCAAATATGTCAATTGAAAGTTTTCATCAGCAATCTCAAATGGGAATGGTGTCAAAAATGGATAATTATCAGTTGGTATGATTAGTTGGGATTTCTTTTCATTGAGTTTGCTGCCACTGAATTTTTCAAATAGTCTAATACATTTCATTGTTTTGGAATAATCTCTTTTATCTTTGAGGAAAACTGTGATATCATCAGCAAAAGCAAGATAATGTTGACTGCTATATGCTTCAGGTATCAAATCTCCTTGGTAACTATGGCCTCTGGTATTCTGTTTGATAGATCGTAGTAAAGGTTCTACTGCTAATGCAAATAATGAAGGGGAAAACGGATTACCTTGGAGGGTACCATTTTTTAAATTGAATAATGGGCCGGTCATGTTGTTGATGTATAAGGATCCCGTTGTCTGCTTGAGGATGTTGATGATTAACTTGGCTAATTTTTTTCCAAAATTTAAATGGGACAATAGTTGTTCCATATATTCGTGAGATATCCTATCGAACGCTTTCTCCAAATCCACAATTAGTATCAGCTTTTGTGGATTTGGTATTATATGCGTTTTATCTTTTGGATGAATTAGACTATCTAACATTTCTCTGAAAATGGTGATGTTGGAGAACGATGACCGGCCTGGAATAAAACCAGCTTGATCTTCCCCTATGATATCAGGCAAGTGCTTCAACAACCTATTATTAATTATTGTGGATAATAATCGAAGATTAGTGTTGATAAGGGCTATCGGCCTATAGTTTCCAATGTTTTCTTTTGACTTTCCAGGCTTTGGTATGATGTTAAAGAGTATAGTTCGGTAGTGGAATGGTAAATTTCCTTCAGTTAGAATGTGGTTAAATTCTTGAAGAAGGATGTGTTTGATTTGGGGAAATAATTCCTTATAAAATTTGTATGGGATTCCATCTATGCCCGGTGTGGACTTCAAATTTGCCGAATCAATTGCCAGTTTGAGTTCTTCCATTGTTATGGAGGAATCCATTTTTCTCTTCTCTTCAGGAGATATTCCTTGGGTTGGAATCACGTCCTGAAGATATTTATGTATTTTTTTGTGTCCTTTGTTCCTCTGGTTCCATCAAACAAGTCCATATAATATTCAGTTGCTATTTTCATTATCTCTTCATGAGATTGAACTAGTGTCCCTTCTACATCTTTTAGCTGTTTTATTGGGCGTTGTTCTTGATATTGGTGGAAAACTTGGTTAATATGTTGATAATATTCCGTCATTTTATCAAGTTCAGGCACTTTCACTTTTTTCAACATGTGTTTGAGTTTTTCTGCTTTGCATTTAATATCAATTATTAATTCATCGGTTCCTTGGATATCTTCATTTATAGATTGGTGCCTGAGAACATTAATGATTCTATCGGTTAATCTATATCTCTTCATATTATAGTAAGCCTTGGATGAAGTTAAAGTCAACTCCACTGTAACTGAATCATGTGTGGATCTTTTCCCAAAATGATTTGTTTGTGTCATATTCCATTTGTTTTCTTTGTTTTTAAGAAGCTCCCAGTGATATAGAACCTATCCAATCTCCGGCTTTTCCCTAATTCTGATGCTTTATTAGTGAATGTTTTCTTGATGTTATGTTTGATTGAATTGAATGAGTCCTTCAAGTTCAACAAAGTAATGAGATTAGTTAAGGATTCAGCAACTGAGTCTTCACGGCTTCTATAATTTAGGGAGTCCGAACGATCAATAAAATTATTAAAATCACCAGCTAACATGATGTTGATTGTCTTTCCTGGGAATCTAGTTTGAAGATTCTGATGTTGGGCAAGTAAACTGAGTTTGAGCTGATCATGGATCTGATTTTGCTTTTGGTATTGATTTGGATTATACAAGTTTATAATCCAGAGTGCTTGGTTATTTTCTAATTCAATTAAGACATCCGTGATGTGTTTTTGGAGTTCATGTTGGACAGTAATACCTGCTAATTTGGATCCTAACACTGGAATAGAATCATCAACAATTATTGCTGTTCTGGAACAGGTTGAATTATAGTATATGACTTTGTTATCGAACTGAAACGAAAAGTCTTCTGATAGATTTAGTTCTTGGAGCAAAGACACATTGGATTTTTGGGTGAAACTTATTACCAACTGGTCGCTGATACGACTCCGTTGTATATTTTGAGTATTGATTTTAATAATCATTATGTTTATTGATTGGAATTTTGATTTGTCTGTTTGTTTCTGGTTGCATCAGCTTCCAGAGTTGACAAATCATCATTGGTTGTTGTTAATTCTGTTTTCTCATGTACTGGAATTTCATCACCCAGTAGCATTTCATCCTCCTCATATTCTTCTGAATCCTCATATTCGTCTTTTGCATCATAGATGTATTCTCCATCATTTTCATACTCCTCATCATATTCTTCGTCATTATCATTATCAGGTTCTGCACTTGATTCAGACAGGGTTGGCTCTTTAGAGCCAGTTTGTGCCAGTTTTGATGTCACTGATGGTTTCTCCCTTTGAAGGATTTTCTTTGGTTTGACGGATGCCTTCTTTTTGGAGGCCTTTCTAACTTGATTAACCGGAGGAGGGGTGATTTGATGCTTTCTGTTGATAGCTGGTGTGGTAGTTTGGATATTTTCATAATCATCATCTCTTTCTTTGGATATTAATCCCAATTGATGGAATGGATTCTTCCATAAATTGCTCAGTTCATTTTGTGGTGGTTTTGACTGTCTGGATCTAGATGAACCATGAACCATGGTGAACTCGGTAGAAGGAACTTCAATCACTGGTGGTTGATTTTGCTTCTGTTTGGGGTTCTCATGACGATCATCTGTAACATTTTTCTTTGGCCGCTTAAAGTAACAGTCTTTAGCTACATGGCTAGGCTTTTTGCAAATCGCGCAAG